CACCCACCCCCATCCCCTGCCAGAACCTTCCAGGGTTCCCCACTGCCTGTGGAATTAAGAACAAAGCAGGCCCGCTTCTGGGCAGCCAGGAGGTGGAGGTGGGGCGAGGGAGGGGAGGGAAGAAGCTGCTGGCCTGTATAAGAGATCTTGTCAACCTCGTTCTCAACTTTCCTAGTGAGGCTTTCCCACTCTAGCCAACTGGACTGCCGCTTTGAAATCACAGACCCTCCGGCCCTTGCTTTCACTCAAGCCACCCCCTCCATCCAGACAGCTTCCTCCCCTCCCGTTCTGTGATCCTGTCTGCCATCCCAGGCTATGTCAGGTACACTGCTGTTTTTCTTAGGCAGTACTGAGAACGGAACCTAGGGCCCCGTGCATGCTAGGCAAGTGCTCTGTTGTTGAACTAATTCCCAGTCCAAGTGCTCTCACCCCCAGGGAGTCTCTACTGGTCTGCCCTAGGTCATATGCTCAACCTCCGTTCAGTTGTCTACTCTTTGACCTCTTCACATCTTATTGCACTTGAAATGGTCTAAACTCTTGGGATATTCTCTCTGCTCCTGTTTGTGTTCCTGCCATTCCCACCCAGTAGGCACTCCACATTTATTGGGTTGAATTGGCAAATGGAGGCTCATTTTGAAGAACCAATCCTTCTCTAGGAAGGGAGAAGAACCTCTGATTCAAAGCCTAGCCTTCCGGGCTCCTGATGCTTCCTTCTCAGGGCTCCTTTCATGCCCTGTCTTGTGTGAGATGCATCCTTACCTAAGAGTTACCCCAGCTCTCTGAATAGCTCAGGGAGGAGGAGGAGGAAATAGCCTTCGGTCAGAGGTGCTGAAAGAGGTGAGGGACCACCATGGGAAGAAAGTAGATGGCTTGTGAGAGGACCTCCCCGACCCCCAGGAGGGAGGCACAGGAATGGGACTTCCTGAAGCAGCAGAGTCTAGAGCAGGAGAAGAGAGGGGCCTTGCAGTCTGATGTCTGCTTGAATGCCCCTCCCACCTGCTCATGCAGCTGGGATGAGGCTGACAGAAGGAAGGTAGCCCCTGTGAGAGCCTGCAGCCGGGCTGGAGCTATCACTGGGAGATCCCTTTTGGAAGACACATACGCTGCTTTCCTGTCCCTTCACAGAGGTTTTCCTGCTGGAATCACCCAGGAGGGTTGGAAAACCTCACCCTTGTGCTTAGCCTGACCAATGGCAGAACCTCTACATGTGGCCTGAGGAAAAAGAGAAACCAAAGCTCTCAGGAGAGCTAAGAGTGATACCCACATCCAGCTGAGACAGTCTTGGTTTCCTACTCCACAACAGACTGGCCCACCTCAGAGACGGCATCTCCTTCTAGGCTTGTGCCAGGCTTGCCCAGAGCCCTACCCAAGCCCATCCTGTCCGCTATTTTTCCCACCTTCTCTGTCTCACCCATGAAGCCACAGGCCCCAGGGAGCTGGCAGATGCAGAGAACAGTTTGCTGATACATAGCTCAGGCTGGCCTCAAAAGGATGGTTGCTACAATTTCCAAAGTGTGCCTGTTGTTTAAAAAAGCTAGTATTAAAAGATAAATGAATAAATAGCTAGTATAAAAAAACTGAGTTACTTAAAGTTGCAATTAAAAAAATTGTATGAAAAACTAAGCTAATAAGTGTGCAAAAAAATCATTAGTCCCTGATCCTATCACCTGTATTCTCTGGTTTTTATCTATTAGATTTTACAGTGAGGACACAAACATGCCTACTCTTCCAGGAATATATATATATATATATATATATATATATATATATATATATTTCCAGGTAGTCAACTTTCTATATTCATTTTCTTCCTGTACATATGAATTTATGATAAAGTTTAACTTATAAATTGTATACAAGAGATTAATAATAACTAATGGTATCATGGGACAATTACAACAGCACACTGCAATAAAAGTTATTTAAGCTTATGAATTATTTACCTCTGGAAGTTTCCATTCCTATTTTCAGACAAGGCTGAAACTTGGTAACTGAAATTGCTGAAAGCCTGTGCCTTATGTAGCGGTGTGCCACCACACGCCTTCCTAGCTTTAGAGCCACCATGTTGACACCTTGAAGCGAACTCCCGGGGAGGGAGGGCATCTGCCACAGATGTAGGTGAATGCTACAAATCTAGGCTTTCTCCTCTGGCGTGGGCTTCAAGAAGCAGGCTGGGCATGAATGAGTGTACAGAAAGTGAGGATGGAGGTAGAGACCCAGAGAAGGTGTCAGCCACACCTGGCCTGAAGGCAGGGGCTAGTCTTAGCTCTTAAAAAGGCTTATGGTCCCAGGGCCAAGCGTTCTCTTCCCAGTGCACTGTGACATGCAGACCAGGTACATATGGACAGTATCTGCGAAAGGTTTCTGGACAATGCGCCCCTCAGGAACAGCAAGAAATAAAACAAGTCATCTCAATAGCTATCCGAACACATGATCATTATCACAACCACCATCATAATCACTATCACCATCACCATCACTATCACCATCATAAGTCTCATTTGGTGTTGCCTACCCCCCCCCAAGAGCTTCAGACTTTGAACACAATAGTGGCCTAATTAACAACAATAGATAACAGTTACCAAGTGCAGGCCTTGGTCCTGATTGGCTGCTTTACTTTGTTTTAGCTTGCACACCATTGTCTTCTTTTAATAGATAAGTAGAGCTCAGTGAGGATAAATACATTGCCCAAGGTAAAGAAATGATGGAACCAGGATTCCCTGCTCCCTCTCTGCTGAGTAAGTGGGAACTGTGATGGGCTCCATGAGGGCTCGGGTGGATATTGGGATAAAGCAGAGTACTAAGGCTGAGAGGGTTTGTTGAGTGGCCCTGGGCAAGATGCTTGTTTCTCCTCTTGGTGGCTATGAAAACCTTTTCATTTATTATGGGGGGGGGCAATGCTGCCTGTGTTTAGAGGTCAGAGGACACCTTTCAGGAGTGGGTCTTCTCCTTCCACCATGTGTGTCCCAGGTATTAAACTCAGATCATCGAGTTCCTTTGCCAACTGAGCCATCGCACTGGCCCATGGAGAGGGTTTGTGAAGGGCCCAGCAGAGAGTGGGACTGGCACATTCTTGGGGGCGGGCAGTTCTGGTGTTACTGCCAGATACCTGGCTCCAGCCCGGCTCTTACAGTCACCAGCAGGAGCATAGACCCCTCCCACACCCCCATGACCTCCACACCAACATCTGAAGCAGCGAGGAGCCGGGCTGTGAGATCTGTGCAGTCCCAACCAACCCAAACATCCTCTGCCTGTGGGTAAAACTACAAAGGAGGTGACTGAACAGCCAGAAGAGCCTGGCTGTTCTTTAAAATCTGTGATTTCTGTTTGAAAAAGAACAGAAAAATAATAATTACCCAAGCCAGCTAGGGAATCCTGGAACCTTTCATTGAGTTAACAGAATTGCCTTCTTTACGGCCCAGACGTCATTACCACTTCTCAAGGCATCATAGGAGAGCATGTGGACATGCACTGTGTCTAGAGAGGTACTCTGGGGTTGCTGGGAAATTACAGCTTCCATGGCTTCTAGAGTGAGGGAATTGTGGGAGGGGGCTGCTGGCACACCAGGCCTTGCCCCTGCAGGCAGCAAAGAACCAAGAGGTCTGACCAAAGAGGAGCTTCCAAAAGCCTGTGGAGCGGCGGTCCTCAACCTTCCTAATGCTGTGACCCTTTACTACCTTCTCTCAGGCTGTGGTGACATCCAACCGTAAGATTATTTTGTTGCTATTTCATAACTGTAATTTTGCCACTGTTATGAATCGCAATGTAAATATCTGATAAGCAGGGTACCTGCTATGTGACCCCTGTAACAGGGTCATTTGACCCCCCCCAAAGGGATGGATAACCACAGGTTGAGAGCCACTGCTGTGGAGGTGTAAAAGGAATAAAATATCAATGTAGGAAGCCAAACTTTGTGACAGACCCAAAAGTGGTGAAAACACTGCTAGCCTTGGCCACAGAAGCGATTTTAAACTGTATCTTAAGTATTTACATGAGAGCCAGGCCTGGTGCTATAGGCGTTCAGCACTAACACTTGTGAGGCAGAAGTATCAAAGGTTCAAGAACCTACAGCAGGACCTCAAGGTTGCGAGACCCTTCTAAAATGTTTAAGAAAACAAAGGAAATCTAAATAGAAAACTGGGGTCCCTCAAGGGTAATCTCCCCCTCATTTGCCTTGGTTCCCCAGGATCCTATAACAGCTGGCACACCCCCCAAGAGCGCTCAACATTTTTCCAAGTGAGAAAGAACGAACAGGCAAAGCCCGTGGCCAACTGATCCAACATTCCTGGCTTGCCTTTGGGAAACTACTATGCTTTTGTAAGTCAGCTTTGTCTGGTGGGAACCAAAGTAGCTTTTGAGCTGTCAGAACAGCAGAGAAAGGTCCCATCCCAGACAGGCTGGATGGAAACTGGAGCCCCAGAGTTTGGGTAGGGCAGCTATCTCACTGTGCCCTGTTTCTGCTTCTCGTTCAGGAAAACAACTCATTTTATGCAAAATATACTGCCTTCTGTTGGTGCTGCTGGTTTTCATTCTGCAGTCTGCTCAGTTTGCAGAAGAGAGTATGTGTAAAAAAATCAGGTGGCTTGTGCACACTACCATCCGTCAGAGGCTGCCCTGCCAGATTCTGCAAGCCATGCCCACCCAGTATCAGTCCCTCCTTCAGTCCCTAAATACTCAGCTTCCTGGAAAGCCAGGCACTCCCTACTCCTCCTCACATTATTTCTCTAGGAGCCAGGCAGCTTGCTCCAAACACATTTTCATCTTCTCCTTCTCCTTCAGGCTGGCCCCATCCATAACAGATGGCATTATCCTGGGCTAATTCTCAGCCATCAACTTCCCCAGCCCTGTCTGTTATGGCAGAAGCTGTGAAAGCCAAGAGGAAAAAATTGATCAGGTGGTGTTCCTTGAAGTCCCCAAATCGGAAATGCGGGTGTGTGCAGAAGGGCGGAAGAGGGTTCTGACCGGCCAGTTCAGGTGTGCCAGGGTGCCTGGCGGCTTACCCGGGCATGAGGGCGGGGGGCACGAAGGAGACCCTGAATTCGGTCAGTAGTGTGCCCGCGCTACGGGAGGCCATGATGGATGCTGCGCGCTCCTGCGCTGCGGCTCAGCTCAGCCTGCAGTAAACAGCCGGCTGGTCACCAAGCAACCACCATGCCTGGCAACCCGAGTTCGTTCTGGGACGTGTGCGTCTCTCTCGCGCGGTCAGAAGATGCTGCCCCATCCTCGCAGGTTACTGTGTAGCTCTGGCGTCCAGCCTAGGTTGCGCTCAGATACAGTGCAGAGGTGGAAAGGCTGAATGGCCACGAGGCTCTCAGTGATCAGGTTTGGACCGAGAGGACGCCCAGGACTCCCTCCGCCCACGGAGCTCCGGAAAGTGGCTCCGTGGTGCACCTCACCACGGAGTGACGTATGGTTCCCCAGCCCTGTCATTTCAGCGATTCTCATTAATTTTTATCTCATTAATTACCTCTCCTCCTTCCCCTCAAACTTTCTTTTCCCGTGCTCCCCAGCTCCACGGGGGAGAGCTGTGTTTGATGAGTCCCGCCTATAATCCCATCTTCAGAGGCTGAGGCAGGAGAATTGCTAGTTTGAGGGTAACCTGGGCAACTTGGTCAGACACTGTCAGGAGCAGAGGAGAGCCAGGAGGAGGAGAAGGAAGTGCCCGTTACAGTTTGGGTCTAGAATATCCTTCACAGGCTCATATTTTGAGCCTTGTTTTCAGTGGGTGTTACTTTTGAGATAAAGAATCGGATAAGGCCTGGCTGATGCCATCAGATTATGAGGGCCTCCCTTGGAAAGTTATGTCTTGGCCCTGGGTTCTGGCCTCACTCTGTGTTCTAGTCACTGAGATATGAACAGAGCTGTTCTTCCTTGCCTCCCCACTATGACAGATTGACACTGTTCTCTCAAACAAAGCTCAGCTTCCTTATGTTGCTTTAGCCCATTATTTTGTTAGGGTGACGTGGAAGTAATGAATACAGCGTGTCCTTCACACCTGCCTCAGGTGCCGCAGAGAGGGGTCTGCACTGTTAGACCGGGCTGCCCTTCAGCGATCAAAGCCCCGAAGTCCACGTGAGGTTTGCCGTACACGAGCCATCTCCCTCCGAGAGGACTTTTCACTCCTAGGCAAATTCAGGTCCCATCAAGCAGCTGGTCAATATTAGCCATCACGAGGTCGATGTCTTCTCCTCAGATATCCGGCAGGGAGAAGTGTCACCCTCACAGCTGGACCCAGTAGGTGGCAGCTGATGAAGACCACAGACACTAATGAACTCACAGGATGCCGCTGCAATCAGGACTCTCCAGGGATGTCCTCCGACAGATGCCAGAGAGTCGGGGGTGGGGGGGAGGGAGAAGGCAGCACATGCTGTGAGACACACACACACACACACACACACACACACACACACACACACACAATCAGAACAGTGGAAGCCCAGCGTGGCAAAGAAGCCACAGGTGAGTGGCTGCCAGATCAGTGGAGGACACGTCATCCCATCGTACCTGTAGTCTCCCAAGGCGCCTGTGGAGACATGTGCTGCCTTAAGGAAAGCATTAGGCAAAGCTGCTTTGTAAAGCTGACCCGAGGCTCTGATGTGATAGACCTCAGGAAGACCTCCGCCCTCACTTCCCTATTCCTGGCATCCCAGTTGGCCCAGCTTGTGGACACATCCCCCTCCTGTACTGCCCTGGGTTTGTTTTTGCTTTTTTTGTTCATTTGTTTTTCTTCATAGACTCTGAGTCAGTATCTGGGGCAGTTTCTGGAAGGGTTGACCGATGGAGTCAGGATATATGCTAATTTGCCTTCATCGTAGAGATGGGGAAACAGGTTTGGCAAGGCTCCTAGGGTTGCCTTGTAGGATTCTCTCCTACCCCCCAGCATGCACAGGGCTGTAAAAGACCCCTTGAAAAACCCTTTACAGCAGAGAACACCCAGGGGACTCTCAGGAAGGGGGTCTGCTAAGTACCGCCAAGCCTTCCAATCAAAGATGAATTTGTGTAATTTTAAAGAGACAGTAAACTTAGTTTTTAAATTTGTAGATATTTTCTCACGTTCAGCATGTGAATTTTCTAGGAATTTTCTTTTTTTTTTTTCTAGGAATTTTCTAACTCGGGGTAGCTGAGTATATGTGGGAAAGGTGAGCAGAGATTGGCAGAAGGAAGAAGAAGAAAGAAAAGGAGAAAATAAGTACACAGAAAAAATAGGGAAAAGAACAAGGAAACAGCTGGGAGACTGGGAAGGCTCTTGGATGTCTGTGGGCTATTCCACTGAGGAGGAGAAACTCAGAGGAGAGACTCCATGCTGTGAAAGTTTAGCATCTTCTCCCTTTAACCTTTCAAACCTTTTTATTACATTTATCATTATCTATCTATCTATCTATCATCTATCATCTATCAATCTATCATCTATCATCTATC